TATAGGATATATATATATATATATATATATATATACACATACAATTTAATAACATTTTCTACGATTAAAACAAGAAATATTATCTGAAAAATAAAGAAAAAAAGAACCTTAAATTTAAAGGGAAAACAAGTTTATTTTTAACCATTGTCCATTGGCAAATATTTGTTCTTTTTTTAATTGTAAAATCACTAAATTTTGATATTTTTTCATGAAACAAAACAAAATGTTGAGTAATTTGATGAGCTTCTCGCTGCGAACACACACAGTCACGTCCAGTCATCATCAAACAGCTCTCTCAGATCTACAGTAAAATCACAAATGTGTGTGTGGAGTGTTTACCTGCTCAACACTTGTGTGAAGCAGAGCTCGGCCTGCAGCAATCGGCCCAGATACTTCAAACACAAACCCTTCAGCATCTGAACCAGACACTGATCGTCAGGGTGAAACACAGATGGGTCTGAAACACACACACACACACACACACACACACACACAGGTTTGTTTTTGTGAAAAGTGGGGACATCCCATAGGCGTAATGGTTTTTATACTGTACAGACCGTATATTCTATTGCCCTACACCAACCCTACCCCTAAACCTACCCCTCACAGGAAACTTTGTGCTATTTCAGATTTTCAATACACTCCATTCTGTGTGATTTATATGCGTTTTGAAAAGTGGGGACATGGGGTAATGTCCTGAAAAGTCACCTTCTCCTTGTAATACCTATGTTATACCCTTGTCATTATACAAATTTATGTCCTCATTTGTCACAAAAACGCACACACACACACACACACACACCTTGAGTTGATAAATCCTATAACCCTCACAGAAACCTTTTTGCATTTTATGTTATGAATTAAAACAATATCCATTAATCCAGCTCCCTGTGGTTTTCTACCAAAATAAAAGCATGATGTTTTAATGCTTGAAAATGAGGAATTAGGACAATACTAAAGTCACAAATATTAGTACTGTAATTTTACTGTTGTACTGTTATCATATGTGACCCATGCTGACAAAATGACTCGCAATGGGCAAATTTTCAAAAATGAAATATGACTGAGCTACACCTGTTTGAAGTCGATAGAGTCAGCTCTGAGTTAAAGTTTTTCTTCCTTATTTATTATAAATAAGAACAGATGCAAAAAAACAAAACAGTAGAACAAATATAAGAAAAGCAAATAATGCATTACCTTTTTCATTTTACATCTAAACAAAAGCATTCAAGTAAGAAAAACAAATCATCAAAAGTAAAAATCCATTTAGTGTTCATTACAAATAAATTGATTATTAAAACTACAAAAGCAGTTCAATCAAGAGCAGCTTTTCTTTTATTGTTAGATTAACATTAATGAGACAGATGGCCTATATTGTAAGACCTACTGTACTGCACGGATCTAATATAATGTTACACATCCGATGCTTTTCCCCAAACGTTCACTTAAGACATAACTGATTATGTTTGTGTGAATACTTAAATACTGTAATTCTGTGTATATTTATCGGGATTGTGTGCTGCCGGAAGCACTTTTGTAATAATAATAGTAATAATTATTATTATTATTACAATTTGGTCAAAATGGGTGATTATATATCAATTTGACAATATTAATAATATTTTATTATTATTACTGCAATTTAGTCAAAAATAGTAATTATGATATCATGATAATATGATAATAATACTTATACTTATTACAATTTGGTTCAAAAATTGTGAGTATATATTAATATGATAATATTATTCAGTATGATGATGATGATGATGACTGTTACTATTATTATAATTATAATCATTACATAATCACTTTTTTTTTTTTTTACAATTTGTGCAGCCCTACAAACAAGAACAGCAAACCTGAACAACTTTAAAAATAAATAAAACTAAATTTTTATCATAAAAATAGCTATTTGATCCCCCTACCCCTCCTCAAATTGTGCAGCTATAATTTGTAAATGTGTAAATGTGAGGTTAAATGCAATAAAACAGCTTGTACTAATAAGAAGGTTCATAAGCAGTGTGTGTGTATGTGCATGTGTGTATGTGCATGTGTGTGTGTGTGTGTTTATCTCACTGGGATCGTTGCGCAGCTGCTCTTCTGCTCTCTCGATGGTGATCAGTAAACTCTCAGTGGCGTCTGCACGCTTCCCAACGATGGTGAAGCCATTCCACACGTACATCATTTCCTGTGCGAGGAAGAACCATAGATGCATCACTTCCTCCTCTCTTCATTTACACATGTTTATATTTGCAGTGTGTGTTTGTGTGAGTGAGTGAGTGAGTGTGTGAGAGAGAGAGAGTGTGTGTGTGAGTGTGTGTGTGTGTGAGTGTGTGTGTGAGTGAGTGAGTGAGTGAGAGAGACGCACCAGCGCGGGAATCACCAGTTTAACGGGCGTGTCTGAGGAGTATCTGCGTGATTTCCTGATGGCGAACTTCTCTGTAGGGATGGATTTCCCGGCCAGCCGCTGCTTCAGTCCCTCCACCTGCCTGCGACACACAGCAGACCGTCAGCCTCATCGCTCACCTGAGCTCAGATCAGAGCAGACTCACCTGAGCTCAGATCAGAGCAGACTCACCTGAGCTCAGATCAGAGCACTCACCTGAGCTCAGATCAGAGTAGACTCACCTGAGCTCAGCTCAGACTCAGATCAGAGCAGACTCACCTGAGCTCAGATCAGAGCACTCACCTGAGCTCAGATCAGACTAGACTCACCTGAGCTCAGATCAGACTCACATGATCTCAGATCAGAGCAGACTCACCTGAGCTCAGAGCAGAGCCAGACTCACCTGAGCTCAGATCAGAGCAGACTCACCTGAGTTCAGATCAGAGTACTCACCTGAGCTCAGATCAGAGTAGACTCACCTGAGCTCAGATCAGACTAGACTCACTTGAGCTCAGATCAGACTCACATGATCTCAGATCAGAGCAGACTCACCTGAGCTCAGATGTGAGCAGACTCACCTGAGCTCAGATCTGAGCAGACTCACCTGAGCTCAGATCAGAGCAGACTCACCTGGGCTCAGATCAGAGCAGACTCACCTGAGCTCAGATCAGACTAGACTCACCTGAGCTCAGATCAGACTAGACTCACCTGTGCTCAGATCAGACTCACTTGAGCTCAGAGCAGACTCACCTGAGCTCAGACCAGAGCACTCACCTGAGCTCAGATCAGAGCCAGACTCACCTGAGCTCAGCTCAGATCAGACTCACCTGAGCTCAGATCCGACTAGACTCACCTGAGCGCAGATCCGACTACTCACCTAAGCTCAGATCAGACTCAGATCAGACTCACTTGAGCTCAGATCAGAGCAGACTCACCTGAGCTCACATCAGAGCCAGACTCACCTGAGCTCACATCAGAGCCAGACTCACCTGAGCTCAGATCAGACTCACTTGAGCTCAGATCAGACTCACTTGAGCTCAGAGCAGATCAGACTCACATGATCTCAGATCAGACTCACCTGAGTTCAGATCAGAGCAGACTCACCTGAGGTCACATCAGAGCCAGACTCACCTGAGCTCACATCAGACTCACTTGAGCTCAGATCAGACTCACCTGAGTTCAGATCAGAGCAGACTCACCTGAGGTCACATCAGAGCCAGACTCACCTGAGCTCACATCAGACTCACTTGAGCTCAGATCAGACTCACATGATCTCAGATCAGACTCACCTGAGCTCAGATCAGACTCCGATCAGAGCAGACTCACCTGAGCTCAGATCAGACTCAGATCAGTGCAGACTCACCTGAACAGCTCCACCACATCCTCTCCAGTCGTCTTCAGCTCCTCCTCAGACATCATGCTCAGGATCGCAGCTTTCTGATACATGTAGATGGCCTGCCACGCAAGCAAAAGATAATCATCAAACATTTATTGCTATAGCGCTTTTTTATGAAAGTGAGCAGATTTCCTAGTTTAGTGCAGTGCTGTTTTACTATAATTGAGATACTGGTATAGTTTTATTCATATTTTGTATCAGTTTTTATTTTTATATTTTTCATTTTCATTTTAGGGATGCACGATATTATCGGACCAATATCGGAATCGGCCGATAGTGGCTTTAAATGTAAATATCGGCATCAGCCCGATATGAAAAATTATTCCGATATGTCTTGCCAATAAGAGGAATACATTAACTCACATGTGCTCAGGGTGTGCTAGTGATTAGATCACGTCAGCATTGTGGCTCATTCTTGAAGCAAAGTTTTGCCTGAATGGTGATTGGATTCACTGTTTTGAATCGCTGCATTTAAACTGAGAATGCACGGACAGAATGATGCGTTCGGTGTATGATAGAGTAAACAGTAATAGCACGTGCAGCGGCAGCCTCCCCCGGGTCCTAATGCTCGTTCGGTAAGGAGTTTTAATTCCGTAGGGGGGCGCTGTTGACTTACTTCTAATAAAATTATAGCAAAATACACAAATAATATTTAGACTGTGTTTCTGATTAAATAAAGCAGTAATTGATGCCATAAAATCATGAGTATGTTTTGATTTAAAGGTCAGAAGCTATAGCTTACATGAAAAAAAAATAAAAATCACAAATATGACACTTAAATTAAAGGGGTCATATGATGCGATCTCAGTTGTTCCTTTCTCTTTGGAGTGTTACAAGCTCTTGGTGCATAAAGAAGATCTGTAAAGTTGCAAAGACTAAAGTCTCAGGGTCCTAATGCTCGTTCGGTAAGGAGTTTTAATTCCGTAGGGGGGCGCTGTTGGCCTACTTCTAATAAAATTATAGCAAAATACACAAATAATATTTAGACTGTGTTTCTGATTAAATAAAGCAGTAATTGATGCCATAAAATCATGAGTATGTTTTGATTTAAAGGTCAGAAGCTATAGCTTACATGAAAAAAAAATAAAAATCACAAATATGACACTTAATAATGTGTTTTTTGAACATTAAAGCATGTCAACATAATCTGTTACACCAAATACACAAAATAATGATCTTTAAAAAAGCATCATATGACCCCTGTAAATAATTTTATATACACTGATTTATTCATTAATGTGTAATATGTTATATTTTTTAAACAAATTATGAGCTCTAAAAGATTTTCAGAATTTTTACTTTTGCTTTTTTGGTGTTTTGCTTTAGACCATTTACAAATGTTAAATCATAAAATAAAATGTTAAGGTTACCACTGCATCTTTCTGAAAAAAAAAATGCAGATGAATGAAAAATGTTTTTTTATATAGTTTATTTATAGTTATTTTCAAATCTTCAATGTACTGTCATTATAAAATAACTTTATTATTGTTTATTTAATTCTAACAAATAAGTTCTTGTAGGTAAATACTGCGCTGTGATGGCAGAACTGTGTGCAAAAACTGTTTCTAGACAGCTCATTTTACACAATACTGATAGTTTGTCATTAATAAACAAGAGAGTGAGAGTGTTATGAGTGGTTACTTTAGACCAGCGGCTCTCTCGGCACAGCAGGTCTGCGTATCGATACGCTTCTCTCCACTGCTGCTGGAACGAGTGACACCACATCAGCTCCCAATAACACAGATGATGGATCTGACGCCACTGCTGCTGTGCCGAGATACACTCCTGGAACTTCACCAGCGCCTGACACACACATATATATACACACACACACACACATATATATATACACACACACACACACACACACACACATTCAGTATGAACATCAGCAGTCAAAAATTACATTTTTAAATGTTAATGAAAGAAGTCTTTTCTGCTCACCAAGGCTGCAATTATTTGATAAAAATAAATGTAAAAATTGTGAAATATTACAATTTAAAACAGCTGTTTTCTATGTGAATATCTGTTAAACTGTAATATTATAAATCTATTTTAAATTCTAATAATGTTTTTTCACAGTATTTCTACTCAAACAAATGCAGCCTTGGTGAGCAGAAGAGACTTCTTCTCTTTACATTTAAAAATCTTGATTATTATTATTATCATCGTTTTTTGGCAGAAAGTGTAAATGTCATCAAAGATCCCTCACGTTCTCAAAGTTTCCCCTCAGTAAGCCGATCCGAGCCGAGTAAAACAGGATGATTGCGCCCTGAGAAAAAAACATTGAGTAACACAGCTGAAGAAATATGTTTAATGAAAGACATGGAAGACATTATGCTTAACATCAAGCAAACAGAATATGAGTTTGTGCAAATATGAGTTGAGTAAAAAAGAAATGGAGCAAACAGTTTCTTTATTAATTCTTGATGTGTGTGTGTGTGTGTGTGTGTGTGTTCAGGTTCTGACCCGTGGAAATCGCTCTATGTAGGGCTCTAATAAAGCCTCGGCCTCCACCAGATTCCCCTCACCAGTGCCTGAAACACACAGCATCAGGACAAACTTTAGTCACATTTTAAATCACAATTACATTTTAAAGATAACACTGTAAAAACTGATTTTCTTCCTTAGTATTTTTGTCTTGTTTCTAGTATAAATATCTACATATTCTTGAATCAGGATGCATTGACAAGTAAAATTACTTAAGATATCATGTCTTGTTTTCTGGAAAAATATCAAAATTTTGTTAGTTTTTGCTTAAACAAGTAAAAATATCTGCCAATGGGGTAAGAAAAATTTCTTAGCCTTTGAATTAAGATTATTTTTCTTACCCCATTGGCAGAGTTACTGAGAGTTACTGAGTCAGAAGTGTCTGATGTGGGTTTGGATTATTACCCAGAATCAGACAGACGTAAGTGTGGTAGAGGAGCAGCGTCAGGACACACAAGATAGACCTGAGACTGTGACTGCCAGCGCCGTCCCGCAGCTGAGACAAACCAAACTCCTGCAGGACACAACAGCTGTTACTGAGAGTGTGTGTGTGTGTGTGTGAGAGTGTGTGAGAGTGTGTGTGTGTGTGTGAGAGTGTGTGTGTGTACCTGTTTTTCTATTCTGGTGGGGACTTAAACCTGAATACACACAGACTCGTGTCACGGTAGGGACCTAAATTGAGGTCCCCACGGGTAAACAAGTTAATAAACCACACAGTGTGTGAGTGTGTGAGAGTGTGAGTGAGCGAGTGAGTGAGTGTGAGAGAGTGAGTGTGTGTGTGAGAGCGAGTGTGTGAGTGTGTGCGTGAGCGAGTGTGTGTGAGCGAGTGTGTGTGTGTGTGAGCGCGAGTGTGTGTGAGCGCGAGTGTGCGTGTGAGTGAGTGCGAGTGAGTGTGAGAGAGTGTGTGTGTTGCTCACTCTGTTCCCTGAGAAGCCGATAAACTCCAGCAGTCGAAGGATTCTTGCAGGTAGTAGAGACAGCATCTGACACACGGGACACAAAACAACACCTCAGCACTCACAGCTTCAGCTCAGCAGGGATTCTGCTCTCAGTGAAGTCTATAACACTTATTACATTAGTCTCATTTATCCACACACACAATGACTCTGGGGTTAATCGCACACTTCCTGTCTCATGGACTGACCAGGTTGAAGGAGCCAATCCCCAGCTTGACTCCGCCCTCAAACTGTCTGAAGGCCTCGCTGTCTCCGCCCACTCCCTGAGACATGTTAGACAAACTCTGGCAGTCCCTAAAAACACACACATATTTTCATAACACACGTCAAGACTTCTTAATAATATCCATTAAAATATTAGATTATATGTAAAATGATATAAGTGTATGCATATATATGTGTGTGTAATTATAATAATTATTATTACAATTATTGCTAATTTTTTTCTGCATTAAAACATTCGGTACAAAGAGGTAAAATACAGATTAGTCATACAAACAAATAACATAAAAATTAACACACACAATATAATTATATAATTACATAATTTAAATATATATTTATAAATTATTTAAATCATTTATATTGAATCCTTATCTACAGAATAACAATAATGTTATAATATTAGTATATATATAAAATTGTATATAAATGTACAAATAAATATAAGCAAATATTACATATGTACATATATGTTCTATATGCAATATAATAAATAATAATACATATTAATAAAAATATTATAATAAATCATTACTAATACTATTTCTCTGCATATAAATATAAAAAATATTATATTGGGGTGGAGGATGACAATCTGTATTTTATCTCTTTGTACTGAACTGATTTTTTTTCAGTTGTTAACAAATATAATATCATATAAAATATTACATTAAAAATATTATAATGTAAATATTTTTCAATTGTTGCTTATATGCAATAACGTCAAATTGTATATATAACAAATACAATATTTTTTAAAGATATTATAGATTATATAATATTTTAACAGAGGTATTGATTTCAGACTCACTTGTAAATTTGATAACTTGTGCGTATTTTAATACCTCCTTTAATAAAACTGATCATGTTTTCATCCTGAAATACAGAAAGCAGTGATGAATCAGAATTTGCCTTTGTGTGTATTTCTCTTCCATTTCATCTTATTTAATGCTGATTATGAATGAATGAATGAATAAATATTCTTTCAGTATTTATTATTTTGGTCAATTTGTTGTTAATAATATTTTACTGCACTAAATAAATAAATCATGTTCTTACAATCCAATATTTTTGTCTTGTTTTCCATTAAAGAATCTAAATGTCCTTGAAACAAGATTCACTTGAGAAGCAGCACTGCTTGAGACATTAACACTTGCAGGAGTTTTTCTTGTTACAAGCATGAACTGTACTAAAATTAATAAGGGAAACATTATTTGGCAAATGATTAGTCGAGTCATTGGTGTAAGTGGATGGGTTTACAGACCTGTATGAATGTTAGCGTGGCTTTCTGCAGCAAACACTCAGCGTAGCAGATCTCCGCATGCATCTCCTCTACAAACACACACACACACACACACACACACGAGTGAGAACTCCACACAAACACGTTTTGACATTATCGAGTATTTTGCAAAAACCATTCAAAACACCGCTACAGAGCGCATGCTTTCATTATGTGAAGTCTAGACTAGAGCGAGTGCGCGTTTAGAGTGCGTTCTTTCACTGCATGATTCAGTCTAATAAAATACATTTAGAATGATCACAAATCAACAGAAAAATGTGTGTATTTATACCATTTCATATAAACAAATTCACACGAAGAGTGCTGTTTTTTCGCCAAAAATTACTATGATTACTAATGTGATATAGATTTTTTTACGACAGTTCAAAAAACAAGAAGTTAATTAAGAGACTTACGTTTTAGAACACACACACACACACACACACACGAGTGAGAACTCCACACAAACACGTTTTGACATTATCGAGTATTTTGCAAAAACCATTCAAAACACCGCTACAGAGCGCATGCTTTCATTACGTGAAGTCTAGACTAGAGCGAGTGCGCGTTTCACTGCATGATTCAGTCTAATAAAATACATTTAGAATGATCACAAATCAACAGAAAAATGTGTGTATTTATACCATTTCATATAAACAAATTCACACGAAGAGTGCTGTTTTTTCGCCAAAAATTACTATGATTACTAATGTGATATAGATTTTTTTACGACAGTTCAAAAAACAAGAAGTTAATTAAGAGACTTACGTTTTAGACACTCTATTTCCTGTTTTTGCACTATTTCGCCAATAAAAATAATTCCAAACACAGCCACAGCACTGTTCTGTGTCTCTGAGCAACATGACGGTGTTTTGTTCCTGAATGAATCACTCGTTTAAATGATTCGGTTCAGTCGCAATGACTCACTTATTA